AACCATAAATACCATACGAAAATACAGTGCAAAGTCGCTGTTTTAATCCAAAAACACGGTCAAAGTTTTTTTTTTCTCATTACGCACCGTGTGTTGCACGATTTTTTTTATACTGTGCACACTGACCACATAGACCCATTTATTTATTTATTTATTTATTTATTTGAACATGATACAGAGAAGTACAAGGAATACAATTTTTTAAGTGCAGCATGCCAAAGCCCCTTGTATGCAGAGCATTATGGGCAGGCTTAAAATTAACTTTAGATTAACTAATTATTATTATTATTTTTTTTTATTATCACACTGGCCGATTCCCACCAAGGCAGGGTGGCCCGAAAAAGAAAAACTTTCACCATCATTCACTCCATCACTGTCTTGCCAGAAGGGTGCTTTACACTACAGTTTTTTAAACTGCAACATTAACACCCCTCCTTCAGAGTGCAGGCACTGTACTTCCCATCTCCAGGACTCAAGTCCGGCCTGCCGGTTTCCCTGAACCCCTTCATAAATGTTACTTTGCTCACACTCCAACAGCACGTCAAGTATTAAAAACCATTTGCCTCCATTCACTCCTATCAAACACGCTCACGCATGCCTGCTGGAAGCCCAAGCCCCTTGCACACAAAACCTCCTTTACCCCCTCCCTCCAACCTTTCCTAGGCCGACCCCTACCCCGCCTTCCTTCCACTACAGACTGAAACACTGTTGAAGTCACTCTGTTTCGCTCCATTCTCTCTACATGTCCGAACCACCTCAACAACCCTTCCTCAGTCCTCTGGACAACAGTTTTGGTAATCCCGCACCTCCTCCTAACTTCCAAACTACGAATTCTCTGCATTATATTCATACCACACATTGCCCTCAGACATGACATCTCCACTGCCTCCAGCCTTCTCCTCGCTGCAACATTCATCACCCATGCTTCACACCCATATAAGAGTGTTGGTAAAACTATACTCTCATACATTTCCCTCTTTGCCTCCACAGACTCCTAAGTGCACCACTCACCCTTTTCTATGATTCACCTCATCTTTCATAGACCCATCTGCTGACACGTCCACTCCCAAATACATGTATCTGAATACATTCACCTCCTCCATACCCTCTCCCTCCAATCTGATATCCAATCTTTCATCACCTAATCTTTTTGTTATCCTCATAACCTTACTCTTTCCTGTATTCACTTTTAATTTTCTTCTTTTGCATACCCTACCAAATTCATCCACCAATCTCTGCAACTTCTCTTCAGAATCTCCAAAGAGCACAGTGTCATCAGCATAGAGCAACTGTGACAACTCCCACTTATGTGTGATTCTTTATCTTTTAACTCCACGCCTCTTGCCAAGACCCTCGCATTTACTTCTCTTACAACCCCATCTATAAATATATTAAACAACCACGGTGACATCACACATCCTTGTCTAAGGCCTACTTTTACTGGGAAATAATTTCCCTCTTTCCTACATACTCTAACTTGAGCCTCACTATCCTCGTAAAAACTCTTCACTGCTTTCAGTAACCTACCTCCTATACCATACACCTGCAACATCTGCCACATTGCCCCCCTATCGACCCTGTCATACACCTTTTCCAAATCCATAAATGCCACAAAGACCTCTTTAGCCTTATCTAAATACTGTTTACTTATGTGTTTCACTGTAAACACCTGGTCCACACACCCCCTACCTTTCCTAAAGCCTCCTTGTTCATCTGCTATCTTATTCTCCGTCTTACTCTTAATTCTTTCAATAATAACTCTACCATACACTTTACCAGGTACACTCAACAACCTTATCCCTATAATTTTTGCACTCTCTTTTGTCCCCTTTGCCTTTATACAAAGGAACTATGCATGCTCTCTGCCAATCCCTAGGTACCTTACCCTCTTCCATACATTTATTAAATAATTGCACCAACCACTCCAAAACTATATCCCCACCTGCTTTTAACATTTCTATCTTTATCCCATCAATCTCGGCTGCCTTACCCTCTTTCATTTTACCTACTGCCTCACGAACTTCCCACACACTCACAACTGGCTCTTCCTCACTCCTACAAGATTAACTAAGCAATGATATATTCAGTGGTACAAAAATTATTGTAAAACAGATAACAATTTAGTACAAATGAGTATTACAAAGACAGGTCATATGGTCATTTACTGTGTTGCTGTGTAATCAGTAGAATGGAGTATTCTGTTAGGTAATGAAGTTAAATAGTAACAAAGTTTGATTGGGTCACAGGTTGACAATTATGAGATACAATAATGAGATACATATATGTGACAATTATTCAGTATTTATTTAGTTGTGGGTGAGTAAGTGATTTTTGAGAAGAGACTCGAGTCTTTCATATGTAGGCCTACCAGCTTTGTCTCACTAGATTTGAGGGCGCTAGAATTTAGGCGTACTAGTACGTCAAAAACCCTGGGGCATAAGCCGTACTAGTACGGCCGAAACCCTGAAAGGGTTAAGTGAGACCAAGAAACCGTAAATACACCATAAAAATAAAAACCATACAAAAATACACTGCAAAGTTGCTGTTTTAAACCAAAAACATGGTCGCAGTTATTTTCTCGTTATTCACTGTGTGCTGCAAGATTTGTTTTATACGGTGCACACTTACCACATACACACATTCTCTCATATCTAGGCCCAAATTTACCGCTCAAAGATTATCTGAGTGAGCTGAGCTCATCATGTAGTACTACGCCACAGACCCAGGCTTTAAACCCATAGAACAACGGCATGGACCCTCAAGTGGTTAAGATACCAGATGTCAGAGGTAGATATCAGTGGTGTTAGTGTACAAAACCACGATAAACTAGTATGTGATACAGGTGATAATGTATACAAAATATAGTAGAGAATGTTGTGTTTTAACACAGCAAACAGAACCTCCCCTGAGGTGTTAACAGAGTGAACAGAACCTCCCTTGACATGTTAACAGAGTAAACAGAACCTCCCCCTAAGGTGTAAACAAAGAGCATGCCATCACAAGATTAATGCTCTGCGTGCCCAGCAAGCAAACTCAAACAAATCGAACTGTTTTTTGATCATTTACTTTGTTAAGTTATATTAACAGAACTAAATTTCATATGTCGATTTAAAAATGTGCACAAGCTAACATAGCGAATATAAAATAGCTCAATCTTTCCTGGGATCAGCCTAAGCTGACTTAGTACAGTATAATTTAACATTCATTAAACTGATTAATTTCATGAAGTTCAGACTGATTTTTGAACTTAGTGAAATAATAAAATTACACACTACATAAAACAACATGCAATAAGACAAGTTGGCAAGTTCTGGTTCTTATATATGCATGCTTATGTACCAATAGTAATCACTATTATGTACTGATACAACTACTAATTACAGATAACATTAAGATAAAGGTAGGGATGGTTTCATTATATTTATGGATTTAGAAAAGGCATATGATAGGGGAGCAATGTGGCACATGCTGCAAGTGTATGGAATACATAATAAGTTTGTAAATGCTGTAATGAGTTTTTATGAGAATAGTCAGCTCAGCTTAGGGTGTGTAGGAGAGAGGGAGATTACTTTCCAGTAAAAGTAAGCCTTAGACAGGGATGTGTAATATCACCATGGTTGTTAACATATTTATAGAGTTGTAAAAGAAGTAAATGCTAGGGTGTTGGGGAGAGGGGTAGGATTAAATTATGAGGAATCATATACAAAATGGGAGTTGACACAGTTACTTTTTGCTCATGATACTGTGCTTTTGGGAGATTCTTAAGAGAAGTTGCAAAGGTTAGTGGACGAGTTTCAGAGGGTGCGTAAAGAAAGTTGAAAGTGAACATAGATAATAAGAATAAGGTGATGAGGGTATCAAATGAGTTAGGTAAAGAAGAATTGGATATCACATTTGAAGGACGGAGTATGGAAGAAGTGAATGTGTTCAAATATTTTGTCAGCAGATGGGTTTATGAAGGATGAAACTATCATAAAATTGCTGCTATGTTACCCATATCAGCAAAGAAGGGAATGTAAGAGAGAATAGTGGTGCCAACACTCTTATATAGGTGTGAAGCATGGGTTGTGAATGTTGCAACAAGAAAGAGACTGGAGGCAAAGGAGATATCATGTCCAAGGGCAAATTTAGGTTTAAATATTATTCAGAGAAATTGTAGTGAGGGAATTAGGAGGAGGTGTGGAGTTACTAAAGGTATTGTTCAGAGAGCTGAAGAAGGGTTATTGAGATGGTTTGGTCATTTAGAGAGGATGGAGCAAAACAGGATGAACTGAAGAGCATATAAATCTGTAGTGGAGAGGAGGGATAGGGATCGTTCTAGGAAAGGATGGGTGGAGGGGTACAAGAGGTTTTGTGTGCAAGAGACCTGGAAATGCAGTAGACATGTGTGAGCATGTTAGACAAGAGTGAATCGAGACAGACAGTTTTTGGGACCTGAGGAGCTGTTGAAGTGTGAGCAGGGTAATATTTCATGAAGGGATTCAGGGAAACTGGTTAGCCTGACTTGAGTCCTGGAGGAGGGAAGTACAATGCCTGCACTTTAAAGGAGGGATTTGGAATATTGGCTGTTTCAAGTGACATCTAAACTCTCATATCTGGGTGCTTCTGCAAAGACAGTGATATTGTGAGAGTGATAGTGAAAGTGCATCTTTCTTTTTTGGGTCATCCTGCCTTGGTGGGAAATGGCTGTCATGTTAAAAAAAAAAAAAAAAAAGATATATAAGCACAAAGGATTGATATGTGGGTCAGCAAACCACCAACAGCAACAGCCTGGTTGACCAGGCAAGCACCAACCAGACAAGCCTGGCCCATGGCCAGACTCCTGGATTAGAACAACTCTTGGAACTCATCAAAGGTAAGAGGTAAGCACAAGAATATTCACAGATCAGACAAGACAAAGCTTAGTGAAACTTGATCCAGTAAGCCAGGACTACAGTAGAATGAAAGACATGTGTATATCAATGAAGAGAATAATTTAGTCAAAGATAAGCTTTCCTTACCAGTGATACTGTGTTCATATCTGGCCAGAATGACTCTGGTATTGGCCAGAAACCTGATGGACTTCCTCTCTGTGCTGGTCTTGGCACATATATCATCTTTCTACAATTATGCCAAGCATTGCTTTGTGGATTGGGCATAGGAAGGGGTAGAGAGTTGGGTGTATGTGGACGGCCACCATTCTGAAGCATGTGACCTAACATACCACCACCTCCAAGCCCACCCCCTCCTAACCCTCCATTAGTTTCTACATTATTTTGCTGATTTTCTTTGTCAACCTCAATTACATCAGGAGTTTCTTTACCTGTTGAGAGAAAATATGAAAAATAAGAGGCCAATAAATATAAAATGCTATTGTAAGTTGTGATGTAAATGGCTTAAAAATCCAACAAGTTGAGGAATGAGACACTTGTGCAAAATTTGGGAATCTTTACTGAGGAAGCATTTTACCAGCCAGTGACTTCTTCAGTCCAATACAGAGAGGAATGGTGGAAGATGAGGAAGAGTGAGGGAATCAGTCCCTAACTCTGTCAGTGTCAAGGCCCCTGATCTCAAACTAGCTATCAGGATCAAGGAATTTAAAAAAAAAAAAAAAAATTACCTTATGAAACGATAAACTTTTACCAAAGGTAATGAAACCAAAAGTACGAAATTTGATGGAAAACTCATGGAATTACGCTCTGACGAAGTTAGCGGTCTCGGCTATACTTACACATTGGCAATTTCGCCCCCTTTGTGCCCTATTTTTGGCCAATTCCACTGTTTGTCAACCAAACTCATAACTATTCTATGAACTGAGTACAAGAAACTGCCCAGTTACCTATTTCAACTACCCAATAAAGTGATCAGAAATCGGTAACTTGGCCAATTTCACCCAAAATTAAACTGTCAATTTAAAAATAGGGTCCAGAATAAACAATGTAGACATTCCTGGCAATAAATAAGAATTTCCTCTGTTCCTCAGTCAATTCTCCAGGCCCCTCATATACATATGATACTTGCTTTCGATTCTGATGATTTATTGTTATACAGACTACTGCATTATTGTAAAAATGGTATAAATAATATTAACACATTCGTGAAGGCATTTTAGACCCATCATTTGACGCGTATTGGAGACGTGACGTGACTTGTTTACTCATGAACATCAAAAATCGAACATTTAAGCTACTCTGAGCTCAATTTCAAGGTACTTTTAGTCAGTAAACCATTCAAAATGTTCATTATTTCTGCAATGTATCTCCCATTCTATTAAATGAGACCAAGAAAACAAAAATACAACCATAAATACCATACAAAAATATACCACAAAGTCGTGGTTTTCAACCAAAAACAGGTTCGCAGTTTTCTTTTCTCATTATGCACCGCATGCTGCAGTATTTTTTTTATACTGCGCAGTGTACACAGTGACCACTCAGACCTAGTCTCTCATATGTAGGCCTACCAGCTATCTCCAGCAAGATTGGAAGCCACTAGAATTTTGGCACTGTATTATGGGACCGACACTAGCTTTATCTTTATCTTATCTTTAAAGCCATAATATTACGGAACTGACAGTGAAAGGGTTAACAGCTCTGATTCAATTATTGGGATGACCAATTATTCCTAGTTATATTTTATTCGAAAAAACAATAAATCATCAATTTCTGAGAGACTATGAATTCAAAATGGAAGGCAAATATAATACAGGAGAGGCCTGAGTATGTGACTAATGAACAGAGGAAATGTTTTAGTGCCAGGAATGTCTACATTGTTTATTTTGGACTATTTTTTAAAATGCTATTTTTTAATTTTGAGTAAAACTGGCAAAATTACCGATTTCTGTGCACTTTATGGATGAAACAGTTTAATGAGCAGTTTCTTGTGTTCAGATGATAAAATGGAAGGTATACTAGTGAAACAGCTAAGGATTTTGTCGAATGGAGCAATGAAATTGTTTTAAAGTAGGACTCAAAGTGGGCAAAATCACACATGCATAAATTAAACCAAGACTACTAACTTTATGCCTGCTTAGTTTCCCAAGTTATTCAATAAATTTTGTACTTTTGTTTTTACGTTTTTTTCAACAAACCAGCCAGATCCCACCAAGGCAGGGTAACCCATCATTCACACAATCATTGTTTTTGCAGAGGCGCACAAATACGACAGGTCAGATGTCACTCCAAACAGCAAATACTTCCAACCTCTCCCTTAAAGTGTAGACATTGTACTTCCCACCACCAGGGCTCAAGTCCTTCTAACCGATTTCCTTGAATCATTTCACAAAATACAGTAGGGCCTCGCTTTACAGTGTTTCGTTAATACGAACATTTCAAATCATGACAAAAACTCATCATATGGCTCTTCCCCCCACCTGACTCACTAAAATGGTCACCACGCACCACTCTGTTTACATCCTCCGTGAGATCTGCGTCTCTCCATTATGTCTGGAAACTTTCCAAGCCTTCATGTGTCTTAAAGTTACTGCATATTTTATATACTATACAGTACTCTGATAATTATATTTATGTGTACCTGTACCTAGATAAACTTACACACTGTACTGGTATGCAGGTACACCTTAAAATCATTAAGTGTCTCTCACCAGTCTTGATGTCATATTAATAATACTACAGTGGACCCCAGGTTCGCGATGCCATCGGTATCTGATAAATCCGGTATGCGATACATTCTAGCACAAAAATTTTGCCTTGGTTCCTGTTAAAAAACCCGGTATACGCGATTCGTCAGAGACGTGTCCACGAATGGCCTGAACTGCCCCGTGTGCCAATGTTTACAAGCCAGCCAGTGTGCTCGCATCTAAGGATACATTTGGTACATACCATATTATCACTGTTTTTGGTGCTTGTTTCTGCAAAGTAAGTCACCATGGGCCCCAAGAAAGCTTCTAGTGCCAACCCTTCGAGAAAAAGGATGCTAATGACTATTGAAATGAAGAAAGAGATAATTGCAAAGTAAGAAAGTGGAGTGTGTGTGTCAGAGCTGGCCAGGTTGTATACCAAACCCCAATCAACCATCTCTACTACAGTGACCAGGAAAACGACAATCAAGGAAGCTGTTGTTGCAAAAGGTGCAACTGTGATTACGAAACAGCGACCGCAAGTGTTAGAAAATGTTGAGAGACTGATTTTGGTGTAGATAAATGAAAAACAGATAGCAGAAGAGAGCATCTCTCAAGCGATCATAAGTGAAAAGGCTAGGCAGTTGCATGATGATTTGGTAAAGAAATTGCCTGCAACTAGTGGTGATGTGAGTGAATTTAAGGCCAGCAAAGGTTGGTTTGAAAGATTTAGGAATCGTAGTGGCATACATAGTGTGATTAGGCATGGTGAGGCTGCCAGTTTGGACCAAAAAGCAGCTGAAAAATATGTGAAGGAATTCAAGGAGTACATAGACAGTGAAGACTTGAAACCTGTACAAGTGTTTAATTGCGATGAAACAGGCCTGCTTTGGAAGAAATTGCCAAGTAGGACCTACATTACTCAGGAGGAAAAGGCACTTCCAGGACATAAGCCTATGAAAGACAGGCTTACTCTTCTGATGTGTGCCAATGCTAGTGGTGATTGCAAAGTGAAGCCTTTATTGGTGTATCACTCAGAAACTCCCAGAGCGTTCAGGCAAAAGAATATCCTCAAGGCTAATTTGTGTGTGCTGTGGAGGGCAAACAGTAAGGCATGGGTCACTAGGGACTTTTTCTATGACTGGTTACACCATGCATTTGCCCCAATGTGAAAAATTACCTAATTGAAAAGAAATTAAACCTTAAGTGCCTCCTGGTATTAGACAATGCCCCTGGTCATCCTACAGACTTGGCAGAGTGACTTTCTGGGGACATGAGCTTCATTATGGTCAAGTTGTTGCCTCCTAATACCACTCCTCTCTTGCAGCCCATGGACCAGCAGGTCATTTCCAACTTCAAGAAACTGTACACAAAAGCTATGTTTGAAAGGTGCTTTGAAGTGACCACAGGCACTCTATTGACTCGAAGAGAGTTTTGGAAGGATCACTTTAATATCCTCAATTGTGTAAACCTTATAGGTAAGGCTTGTGAGGGAGTGACTAAGAGGACCTTGAACTCTGCTTGGAAAAAAGTATGGCCAGAATGTGTAGACAAAAGGGATTTTAAAGGATTTGAGGCTAACCCTGGGAATCCTATGCCAGTTGAGGAATCCATTGTGGCATTGGGGAAGTCCTTCAGGTTGGAGGTTAGTGGGGAGGATGTGGAAGAGTTGGTGGAGGAGGACAATGACAAACTAACCACTGATGAGCTGCTAGATCATCTTCAACAGCAAGAGGCCAGACCTGAGGAAACTGCTTCGGAGGAGGGGATAGAGAAATTGAAGAAGTTGCCTACTTCAAAGATTAAGGAAATGTGTGCAAAGTGGCTTGAAGTGCAAACCTTTTTTGATGAAAATCACCCTCACACAGCTACTGCAAGCCGTGTTGGCAACATGTACACTGACAACGTTGTGAACCACTTTAGGAAAGTCACAAAAGAACGAGAGGTACAGGCCTCTATGGACAGATATGTTGTGGGACAGACGTCCAGTGACTCAAGCTGGTCCTAGTGGCATTAAAAGAAGAAGGGAAGTAACCCCAGAAAAGGACTTGCTACCTCAAGTCCTAATGGAAGGGGATTCCCCTTCTAAACATTAACAACTTCGACACTCTCCCCTCCTCCCATCCCATCAATCATTACCAGATCTTCATGAAAGGTAAGTGTCATGTATTCTATTGTTAGTAGAGTACATACTACAAAGTGTGCATGTCTTCTTCAGTTTGTGTGCATTAAACTTAATATTTCATGTGGTAAATTTTTTTTTTTTCATACTTTTGGGTGTCTTGCACGGATTAATTTGATTTCCATTATTTCTTATGGGGAAAATTGATTCGCTTTTCGATAATTTTGGTTTACGATGAGCTCTCAGGAACGGATTAATAACGCAAACCGGGGGTCCACTGTACTACTAATACAGCCTCTCCTCACTTAGCGACGTACTCGTTTACCAACACCTTGGACTTACGACGGGCCCTCTGACCACTAATCATACCTAAATAATGCATATTAGAGTTGATTTCCTCTATTCTGTTATTTTAAAATACAGTACACTACTGTCAAGACATGTAAAAATATACCAGAAATGTTATAAATGGTGCAAAGGTGACATTAAAACAATATCAAAGATGGTTGACACAAACTCACTACCATTATAGTAAGCTCCTCACATAGCTACGAATTCATTTAATGACGTGGTCTTAGGAACGGAACTCCGTTGTTAAGTGAGGAGAGCCTGTACTAATATG